CAAGGATCAGGAAAATTAAACAGAGTAGACCAAAATCGCCAACAGCGGCAAACACCAAAAGGTGAATGCGACAGGGAAGCACTCTCTAGTGACGTAGCAGATAGCAGAATGGTGGACATAGTGGTGATTTTGTGGTCGTCCAGGCGTGTCAAGGGGCACAATCAAGGGTGTGCAACGTGTCGGTAGAGCTGTAGTCGTCTTTGCTGCTTGCCATTTCACCCATTTCCGGCCATTTTCACTCTTAACTGGCAAGGAGCATATCAGTTGTTACGTCTTGCCTACACACCGAGGTCCTACTCACCGACATCAGGCTCTTCTTTTACCGAATACTGTCACTCAGGAATAATTTTCATGATCAATGCTTTCTCTGTCCTTTTACTTTACTTTTGTTTGTACCCTAATATAGATATTTGTTGACTAACGCACAGTACCTTCCGTCAGCTCCTAGCCTGCAATTCTTTAATGCCCCTTTTATGTCCTAGCCCCCTGGCACACGTAAAAGTAAATAAATGCTTCAATATTTCTTGCATCCATTTTGCTAGAAAGGTTTGCCAAGTGAAAGTAATCCGAAAATCATCCATAGATTGTAAGTGGATGTTGATTTCTCTGAAATTAAGCTAACCGATTTATTTCATATTTTGTTGAAGTAAGCGAGTTCTATCGCGGCGTGGGAAATTTTTTTTCTGGTTGAGGATCTTCCAGCATTGTAGAGAGTTAGTCTCCTATTCAGTCCCTCCTTATTGGCCCATTTTAGGCTGAGACATGCTGAACTGGAACAGAAGTCATGGTCATTTAACACTATAAATATAAGTGAATTAAAGAATCTGGCCCCCAGGGTCGCCTCTGTCATCCGGTCAATCGGTAGGTCATTTGATCGGTCACCAGCTACCAGGGCTGTACATGCACGTCGTGTCCATGTTCGCTCGTTTGTACACATAGACAATGTGGACATCTTGGGATACGAACCGACGCAAAGCTGAGGGCAGACGATGGGCAACGAGGAGGGACGTGTGGTTAGTGCAGTGTAACGTGCACGAAAGGAAAGCAGAGAAGAGGGTTGCGGATGTGAGAATGCTGGCTTTGCCACTGCACTAATTTAAGGTCTGTCTTTGGTCACAATTACTATGCGAATCCCACCCTATTAGTGTGATGATACAGTTGAAGCTAGTTTTGACTTTGCAGCCGATTTATTATGGGTCTGCCTTTAGTCAAAGGTACCAATTTGAACCGAGTTTCGCCTTTGAGAATAAGTTATTTTAAGGTTTGTTTTTGGAAATAAGGAAAAGTTAAGTACATCTCATCAATGTGCCGACTAAATTGAAGCAGTTTGATAGTCAAATTTCGCCTCAAATTAGACAATTATTCTATGACATAAGCCTTGTTTGGTAATTTTTACAAAAAGCCATCCTGAAAAGACTCGAGTAGAAAACTAAAATTCGCTTCAAATTAGTAAGCAAATTGAGCAGATCAGATGTGTCCAGATATTTACACCAGCGATAGACCTAAAATAAGTCACATGCAAAGTCAAAAGTCGCTACAAATTAGGGGATTTATTGGAGGAGCCTTGCCAAAATATTTCTATGTCAGGGTTAGACCTGAAATAATTTAGCTGTGACTGGAATATTTGCTTAAATTTAGATAACAACATATTGAGACAAACTTTGCCTAAGTGTTTATACCAATGTCAGACGCAAAACCAATGTCCTTAGGCTGTGTTTAATTTTCTATGCTATAAATGCCCTAATTTGAGCATTTTTATACTTACGCACCAATAATTCTGCCTGATAATTAGTGTCATACCCGCCAAAGGAATAATTCCTTTTTAATCTGTATTATTCACATTTACTCACACAGATTTTATCAATTTACACTAGCAGTTGCAAAATCGCACCTTACCCCAATCGGGCATAGATCTATCAGGCCTTTGTATCCATTTAGTAGAAGACGCAGGATGTCCAGAACTAATATAATGCCTCCTACTGCCTACCGTCATGAAGGCAAATAGAGGGCATAAAATTACTTCATCACTTATTTGATTTCCTTTCTGTCCTGTACCGTGCTGTGCTGATCTGCTCTATTTCTCTCTGCTTAATTGTGTATTATTTTGTTTCCTCCTCTAATATATTGGCTAACCAAATCCCACTGAATTGAGATTTAGACGACTTAGTCCATGCTACCATCAAGTCACTTTTGAGTCCAACTTTTTCTTCGTCCATTTTACCACACCAAATAACTGTTTATTCTATAGAATGCCCCTTTGCGCTATCAAAAAATTAATTATTAATTTAAATTTCCAATTAGCAAAACAGCAAATAAACTGCACGTCAAAATAGCATCTTGAGGCACTCTCAAATCAATCTTAAGCTGCTTGCGGCATGCACAAAATTTGCATCATTATTTGATATTTCATTAGCAACTTTCCCTGAATCTATTTCAATCCACCACTAGTGACGCATTCCCCAATCCCACTGTCCAGCTCGCGACCTGTTCAATTATATGTTGATTTCAGCTAATAACTTGCAGCACACGCAACGCACATCATCGCACTCTAAGTAAAAATCACATTCTAAACGCGCATAACACCGATCGTTGTACTCCGTTCATAATGCCATGAAACAGTAATGCTCTTACCAAATGTGTTTGCCCGTTCCAGGGTATTGGACGCTAAGGCCGAGGGCAACTGTATCAATGCATAGCTATAAATTGACTTCTATTAAAATACGTGCAAAATCCAGGTCCCAAAAAATATTCCCTTACTTGCGATTGTAAACAACCACTACGAGAAGGCTGGTTAGAAAAAGACACCATATATTGTAGCATTGTGGAGGTACACAAACCATTCAATTTTACTTCAAGCAATTGTTTACCTCCCATTTTTTGAAGAGATTATTAATGCTCCTTCAGACCCACGGCGAATCGGGTGATTAAATGTCCCTTTTACTCAAGAACTGCCCAACAGGTGCGGTGGTTGATACTGAGCGGATGCCATCAATCCCTGGCAGAAAACGCAATCCAATCCCGTGGAACAGTGCATAAGTACAGATGTCCTCATATAAAAGGGTCCGCTTGCTCCAAGAGCATAAAGGCTGATGTGGAATAGATAAACACTGAGCCTATCACACTGGTGGCACTGCCGGCAAACCCATTCCTCCCCAAGAACTGCGTAAACTTCTAAAAGTGACTATAGTGACAAATATGAACAGTGGTTCTGCCTCAGAAGTCAGAGGGTGCTTCGAAACCACTGTCTTCGTCCATCTTAAGAGGAGACATAATTAGAACCATTGATTTAAAACAGCCCTGCACTACCCTAGCTCAACTCAACACCGATGAAAAGGAGCGTTTTCTCGACAGAGGGTACTTCTATCGCGTTCGAAATTATGGATAACGACGATGCGGACCTACAACTATTAGCAGAATGAGCTTTCGACCCCGAAGTGTCCTCCATCATTAGTGGGGCTAAAAACAGAAACGTAATTTATTAGTCTCAAGCGTCCTTTAGAAATCCAAGACGTTCTTAAAAGGGATTGGTCCTGCAGCGCTGAAGTAAGTATGGTGGGGTCCGCTTTAATCACTTCCCCCGCGGCCTTCTCATTTTTTTCCACGATTAGGCTTAATACACCGGAGCATTTGTTATTAGCGGCATTATATATGGAGAAGTTTAGCTATTGTGATGATCGTTCAGATTACACTTCCTCCTTCGCAGTAGATGACGTCCGTTCTCGAACAAGGTTCGTGTTCCCTGACCAACTGTCAAGTACAAGTTCTAGCCAAACCAACATCGATTACAATTCCACCATAAAATTTTGCTCACATCGTAGAGGAGCACTGTAAATTCTTGACTAGGTTGCCATGCGTCATTAAATGTAGGCCAAAATAGGAGAACACATCACGTCTTATTCCCTTTTTTCGGCAGTTTTCGTCTTCACCGTCTTTAGTTTCGAGCATGCACTTTGAGCCAAGATTGTCAGCCTGCTCACTTAAATTTGGCCAAAGACGTATTTGATACCAACGTTGACGATTGCGCATGGGATGTCAGGGGTGTCTCATGCAATTGTGTGCGGTAGACTCTTG